TATATAGTCTTCCTTATAAAAAACAGAAACCATCTTTAGGTGTATCAAATGTAAATTATGATTATTATCAAATGTAAAATATGAGTTATCCCATGAATCTTCCTTCCTTACTTTTTGCTAGATTCGTTTTATCCAAAATAATTTCGATAGTGCACATATATTTATACCATAATTCAGACATTTCGACGTACACTGAGAGGGTGAAGATGATTATTTTCACAAGAGTAATGGATGTTTTACTTACGGCGCCTTAGATCTCCAGACATAACTCTTATGGTTACCTTAAAATGACATTTAAGGGCAGAAAATCCGAACTTGGGCGCAATTAATAGGAAAAAGGCTGTGAAAAATATCTAAATATAAACTTTTAGAAAGAAATAGAAGTAACAATGAAAGTTCCTTTTTGAAGTAGACGGCGATCAATTCACGCACTTACTAAAGCAGTGGATATGTGTTACTTATTCATATTTTCCCCGCTTCTATTTATTTATACATGCTTTTCCTTTAAAATGTACACGCATCTAAAGGATGATTTTATTCGGGGCGCTTTGCATAATGGAGCAATAAATGACCTGCAATAAAGTGCAAAACTTAGCCTTTTTTATTTCATTCCACAGAAAAGGATGAAACTGGTTTTTATATAGGTGACGGAGAAGTTTTCTAAAGTAAAAATCCCACCGTGAACCTGACATCCAAATATTGTTGAATTCTCTTGACGGAGTCACTAAAATATTATCAAATGAAAATAATTAAAGTTGCTTTTTCTTAATCATTTTAATTAAAGTAATAAGCTGTTAAAAATTAGCATAAAATTAAAAAAAAGAAAGAAAAGGGAATAAAAATCTGAAAGATTTCAAATATTAAATTACGTTCAAGGAGGCCTTTTTTAAAACATTTTATGTGTTACTTTTATTTATTAAATATCATGTTCTATGTACTCAAACTATAAAATTCAGTTCAACAACAACATGGCAAAATAATTTTAAAATGAGCATATCTGTAGAGTATCCGATACAGAAAATGGCGCGTTGGAGATAATTTTTTTTTTTTTTTTCCCGTACAGTACTGCTATTGCTCGCTTTGCAAATCGTTTAGTATTTTTTAATAAAAAATTCGTTAATTGCTACAATATGAATCGAAATAAACATTTTCAAATTTCAAATTAGGGCTTCCGCATGCCCGTATTCTATGGTGATACCTATTCCAATTTTGATGGCTCTAGGTACCGTTGTTTTAAACACAGCGAGACATATATACATTATGCAATTCTCATTATTTAATCTTCTTTAATATATATAAGAATAATAATTAGTGGCAACAATTTGAAAAGTGATTCGCCGTTTATAGTATAGCTAAAACGAGTTTAATAGTCCTTCAGGGCAAATTTCCCCTTTGAACTAAAAAAAAATTTAAAGCTTTCATGTTTTACATTACGCTCAAGGGGACTTTTTTTAACCTTTTGTGTGTTACCTTTATTTATTAAACGATCTTTGCACTTAAACCATACATTCAATTCAACAGCAATATCGCAAAATAATTTTAAAATGAACATATTTTTAGAATTTCCAATACACAGTCTCGCGCGCTGGAGATAAAAATGTTCCCCCCCTCGTATAGTTTTGACATTGCTCGCTTTGATATCGTTGAGTTTCTTATTAAAAAATTATTAAAGTTTTACAAAATCTGAAATCGATAATAAAGCAAATTCTAAATTCAAGTTCGGGCTTCCAGATGCCCATATTCTAGTGGAGGAAAAATTATTGAGGTTTTTCTTTCCTGTAGAGTGTTGCCATTGCTCGCTTTTAATCGTTGAGTTGTAATCAAAATTCGTTAAAATTACAAATATGAAAGATAATAAAACAAATTCCAAATTTTGGTCTTCCAGATGCCCATATTCGGATGGAAGACTACATATTCTAAATTTATGTCTCTGGTGCCAGTTGTTCGCAGAGAGAGAAACATACATACCTTCAGATGCCTTTTCATTAATTATTTCTAATATTGGTGGTGAAAGTGAAAACGCATTACGGTTTTCAACGCAAAATGTCAAAACGAAATTAATAACCCTTCTGGGCTAACGCCTTTTGGGCTAAAAATTAAACAAAAAAATCATATGTGAAAAGCGTGCACCCAGTGAGAGAGTGTGATAATATTGCACAATATAGCCACACAAACGCATCTAGTACTCTTTCTCAAAAGCAATGCCGACCATAAGCCAATACAGGAATACGCGATTCACACAAATATTTATACGTGCAAGAGGGTTTGATTCAAAGGTGGCAACAATTTGAAAAGTGAAACGACATTAAGGTTTCACCAAAATGTCAAAACGAATTAAACCCTTCTGGGCTACGCTTTTGGCTAAAATTAATCAAAAAAATCATATGTGAAAGCGTGCACCCAGTGAGAGAGTGTGTAATATTGCACAATATAGCCACACAAACGCATCTAGTACTCTTTCTCAAAAGCATGCCGACCATAAGCAAATACAGGAATACGCGATTCACACAAATATTTATACGTGCAAGAGGGTTTGATTCAAAGGCGGGATAATTTATTAATCTGCGTCCATGAGAACTGTATCTAACACACTATGATAAAAATGTACTTTTTATTGCTCTATCTTCTTTCGAAAATTAAACTAAAGATGACGGTGCTCTTATATTCACACGCATGGAAGAAAGTATTATATGTTCTACAAACTCACAAGACTTATAATGCACTTTATATAGCAAATAATAAACTAAATAAGAATTACATTACATATTTTTAATTGATACATATAACAAATCTATCAGATTCTAGAAATACCATTTATGTTGTATGAGATCAAGTGTTCCGTTTAAGCGAATGGTGTTCTGAAAATCTTAAATGTAAATACAGATTTCCTTTTTCAGTGTTTAAGTTTGCTGTCTTGTCATGTCTTAAACTTAGGAAATGAAATTTCGGTATCGGTACTTTATGTAGATTCTGATCTCTGATGCTTAAGAATGCAATCTCCCTCCTCATATTCCAGAAGCCCAACAAAACATTCGTGATATGAAATTCTTTCACACGCGCTTTGTGTAAACGAAATCCATACGTTAATTCGTTCCCATCTTCGAACGTCGGTACAAACCACAGGAAGAAATATCTGAAATTCAAAACGAAATTTGCTATTTGTAATTTTGGAATAGTACCTTAAAATTCATTAAAATAATCCCGAAAGTTCGTGCCGCGTTTAAATTGCTATACGCACTCGAGTGTAACACTCGAATGAAGAATAGCTAAAGTTTATACTAGCAGTTGGTGCAAAAAACTTTTTCCTTCAATTTTCTCTCAGTATATCGGCAATTTTGTTTAACTACAAAAGTCGAAATCTTCTCGAATAAGGTCATGCCTTCTTCTTTAAAAATATGATATTTTTAGTCTGGCCACCACTTAAAGATACATACTGAAGTGTGGTGGGGAGCTCGTCATGAGTGCAGATTTTGGGTCTACTGTTACAAAGTGTGATCGTGACTTTATCCTCGTGAGAGATGATAATGATCGGTCTCTTCGGTGTCCCTGATTTTGGGGAAGGGGGGGAGACAAAAAAAAATATTCAACGAATTGCAAGACATACTGAAATCGACAACAGACGAAATTCCAGGACTAAATCTTATATATGACGATTCTAACGAGCATGGACATAACAATAGAATTTCGTTATAACAAGCTCGAACGTAATGAGATCATAGCTGTAACGAGCCCAAAGCCGTGATGACTACATTCACATACAAATACTCATTTTTATAATGAGGGCAAATACACCACGCAGTTTCAGCAACTGAGTAAATATTCTTAATTACTCTGACAAAAACAGTATGCTTTTCAAATAGACAAATATGAAAAACATGTGCCGGGTTTTCATTCGTAAAGCAAATGAAACAAAGGATCACATTTTTAAGACAAAATATTCGAAATATAAAGGAGAAATATTTTAAAACAAACTCACTTTTAAACAAAATAAAAATTGTTTAAAAAAATTAGAAATGAAATTGCGGTTGTTGTTAATTTATATTGCTTTTAATTAAAAAGAAATAATTTATGCTAACTGCAGTGAAATCTTTCAAGGCAAGCATCTCTGAAAGTTACCTTCATTTCTAAAAATATGATTAAATAATGGTACTCGCAATAATAGTCTGCTTAGCTTTCTTTTAATATTCGTCACGCGTTGCACTGCCCGGGGAATAAAACAATTTTATTTATAATTCTACTAATATTAACTATTTAAATACCAAATTCGTAACAACATGTATGGCAACTTCTAACACTTTATCGGGAATTCTAAATATATGCTGTTTTTGTTTAAATTTGGAAAATTTTGTTTAGCACTGTCTCCAAATGAAAATCAGTCAATTACGATCCAGTTAGTCCTCTGCGAAAGCTCTTCTCTTAGATCCCTCAGAGGTAAATGTGGATTTATTTTTAACCATACTAAATCAATACATGACAAAATGAAAAGAATTGATTTCAATTGATAAATGAAGGACATCATTTCTTCAGAAACCAAAACTCATATATAATATAACCAGCCAGCTCACTTGAGTTGACTTCAGTGGCGTCTTTTATCTAATTTTCAAAAATCATCAGCTTTACTAAAAACAATTTTCGTGATTTTCATACAGTAAAAACCCTGTCATATTTCCACTGCTTACAAATTTTTGGAACAGTATGAATATGTTGTCATACAGTTCCAAAAATTTGAAACCGTATGAAATTCTGGGGAATTTTACGAAATCCTGGGGAATTTTACGAAATCTTACTCTTTTTACTAATTTTTATTAAATTGTTCTACATCACACTGAGTTTTTCCGGCTCCCTCGTTCATTACTTTTGTTTAAAATTAGTTCTCAACTTCTTAGCTCATTCAACGAAGATTGTTTCTGCACTTTTTGTCCAAGTTATTGTTGCTGACGACTCCCACGTATGATTTCACTCCTTCTATTTAAATTTACATGAAAATCAAAAGAACCTACCGCTTTTCGTACTTCCCTCAGTGCTTCGCACTATTCTTCTACGTTTACTTGTGCTAGTTTTTCCAGGCAAACGTAACGTATTTGGCAGCACTACAGTTGCTCATCAAGTCAAGACATCCTTTTAACTGTGAATTTCAGTACGATTCTCTAGTATTATGCATCAAAAATAGGATTAATAAATAAGTCTTCGCGTGCATTGCCATAATTACTTCAAAAGGACACAGTTATCTTACAATGTATCTTGTATGCTAATTACTCATTTATTTATTTTTTCTTAAATATTGAGCAATGTGTTTCATTGGCTAATACGAACATCAAATTTTGAAGAAATAACATTTATGATGCGGATGATGAAAGCTGACTACAGATTTCGGCCGGGAAAACGCTTTCAAAATTCAGCTTATCGCCAGGTGGAAATGGTACATTACAGAAAAGATAAAAACGTTCAAAGTCCTTTCACTAGTTACACCGCTTTTCTCATACTTCTCATAAGATATCAACGTTTATGGATGATACATAGATGACTATGAAACTTTTATCAGCCTTCTTCAGTTTGATGCGATGGTGATCACGAACTGTCGAGAGACGGGGTAATGTTTACATCACGTTCTTGAGAAGTTAAATGTTGTCAGGTAAATTTATCAACAATTAATCTTATGCTGAAATCAAGTGCATGAAGCGCAAGCTAATAAAAGAGTAACATTCAGCTTGTAAACAAAAGATAAGACAGATTTGTTTTAAGTTCAAGCTATTTCCGACGCCTTAATGTGTAATTTACAGAAACTGGGGTAGAGGAGATTAAAAGTCTGAAGTTTATAGTATAGTTTTTCTTTTTTATGTTATCCGTAGAGCTCTTTTATTGTCTCTTGTTAGCTCTGTAGTGAAGCGTCTAACACGCAGCGAGTACAACTTATACATTAAATAAGCTAGTTGAAAGCCTCGATTGTTTATGGAAAGTAATTTTTATGATTAAAATTCACTAATATTAGCAACACGCTACAAGGCCTAACGTTCTTAAGCAAAATGGCAATATCGGATGCTTTATAAAACACGAACTTCGTCTAGCTTATGTACGCTAAATTCACAAAATACTGACAGGGATACCACCAAATAGCTACCAATGCTATTGTGGTCCAAAGAATTGATTTAAATGAACCATTTCCCCTAACAAATGTAAAAAATCACTTTTTAAATATTGAAAATTTTCTTCCGAAGCTATTACGTCTTTCGTCTGCCTCTGCCTCTAGCAACAATTTGTACTTCCCAAATAAAAAATGTTTGTTTTAGCATATCCCAAAAATGGCCAATTCGGTTAAACAAAGAACATTCATTAAAGTTTCTTTAGAAGTTCATAGACCTCTAGCAACAATTTATATTTCGCCAATAAAAATTTTTTGTTTCGGCTATAAAGTATTTCGACCGCCTTCAGAGCCTGCCTTCGTAGCGTAATGGTCAGCACGCTCGACGCGTATTCGAGAGGTCCGTGGATCGCGTCCGGACGAGGGCATTGCTCATTTTTTATCTCTCTTGTTTCGAAATAACCTAATGTCTCTACACGGCATATTCCAAAAATGACCAATTTAGTTAAACAAAGAACATGCATTTAAAGGTTGCTTACGTAATGAAATTTCTACTATAAAAACGTCTGAAATATTGAAGAAAAACTTTCAGGATAATAATCTATCCCAAAATAAGAGTGGCATCAAATACTTACGGAGAGCAGGTTAAGTTACGTTAGGTTATGGCAAAAAGCACAACTGCTGTCATTCCTAAGAGGAGGAATGCCTTTGTAGATGACATTTTATCTCTCATGTTCACGTTATACATGAGGCAAACGTTCACTTAAGCTAGAACTCAAGCAACCTACCAGCATCCATTCGTCTTTAGCCGCGTAGTCACGTGTTGGTGCTTACAGAAGGCAGAGGATATATTAAAGGCGAATAACACTCTGCTTCAATTAATGAAAACCGCCAAACACTTTAGTTAACCCGAGACACGTTGATCAAGATATAAATTTATTGTTAAGCGATCGTTATT